ACCAGCGATGGCCTCCAACCTACTAGCGATGGCCTCCAACCTACTAGGCCTCCAACCTAGTAGCGATGGCCTCCAACCTACCAGCGATGGCCTCCAACCTACCAGCGATGGCCTCCAACCTACTAGCAATGGCCTCCAACCTAGTAGCAATGGCCTCCAACCTACCAGCGATGGCCTCCAACCTACCAGCGATGGCCTCCAACCTACTAGCGATGGCCTCCAACCTACTAGCAATGGCCTCCAACCTACTAGCAATGGCCTCCAACCTAGTAGCAATGGCGTCCAACCTACCAGCGATGGCCTCCAACCTACTAGCAATGGCCTCCAACCTACTAGCAATGGCCTCCAACCTAGTAGCAATGGCCTCCAACCTACCAGCGATGGCCTCCAACCTAACTGCATCCACATCCTGCAACTGCAGGTGCTCTCGATGACGAGCTCTGGTGAAACAGGCTGGAATCCGGTAGATGTCCACCAGAGTCACCAGAGTTGCTAATCGGTTATATACGGCAGGGTTTCTGCTACCCAGCCACATGCTTGTGTGACTTGGGCATTCTAAAGCGCTGAAGCCACTCAGAAAACTTGACGAGGAACAATACTCGATTTGCACTTTTCTCGTGTTTTTTTTCACACGAGGCGGCCTCCTGCAGTTTGCCCGGCGGATTATCGCCTCTGAGGAGTGCCAAAAGCTTTTGATAAAGTCACAGGGTTCAGAAGAGTTTAGAAGACTTGTATATAGAGTTTGTATCAACATATGTTGGACAGCATGTTCACCCGCTCTCTCAATCCCAGACTTCGTTGGTTTGATCTAAAACCATCACTGCTTCACCGGGTCGTCCCTGTCCCTCGAACCGAGCGCCGATATAGGGCCTGATCCGCGGCTTGTGGATGCCGGGCTGTAGCGGCTGGATGGCAAGCTTTGGAGGTGTGTGATCTGCCGTCGCGCGTTTCAGGAACCAAGCGCCATCTTCTTCCGTGGAATCTGGGGAGCTTTTGGAGTGGGGACTGGCTGGACGGGCTCCTTTTCAGGGAAAGAAGTGGGAGAGGGTCCAGAGGGTTTTGGGTTTTCACGCACGGGGGGCGAAGTGAAGGGGCGGGGCGCTCTTGGTGCACCGGGTGTTTGAAAGAGATGAAAAGAGGCCCAGCAGGTGTAGCAGGTGGTGTGATTCTTTTTGCATTAAAACAAATCATGTTTTGTTCTGTCTTTTCCGGACAGATCAGATCAGATCTAATAATTATCTATCAATTGAACGTCTTGAACCAAAGGGGTTGCCAACCTGACAAACATGACAAACACCACTTGGAACAACGTAACTATGTTGTGCATGCAGCATGCATCCTGTCGCTTGGTTGCTTGGTGTTTCATCTATCTTCCTGTTTGCAGCTCCCAGGGTCATTGACCACCGGGTTTTTGGATATAGGATGACATAGGTGATCCACTACGCATCCGGCACCCGCATGAACCCCACACACCGGAGCGGCACCAACGGCAGGTGCCTTCGGTGTTCGGATGGGCATCTACGAATCGGCCCCGCACCTGAGGGCGGTTTCACCCGTCGGGTCGGATTCCGTTGGTTCGTCGGATTCCGAGGTTCGATGTGGAATCGAATCCACCACAGGCCTCAGTAGGACTGCGTGATTGAGTTTGTGAACATGCATATTTCAGAGCATGCAAGACACCCAAGAACAGCACAGCAACTGCCGATGCTGGCAATTGATTGGACCAACACGGTCGTGTGGATTGGTGGATGTCGAGGAGTCCGAAGACAGCTTTTATGGCTGGCTTGTGTTGGAGCCTCGGTCTACAGTGTACACTGGTTGTTCTCGAAGTGTCCGTTAATCAGTGTTTGCATGGTGTTGCATATACCATACCATCGCATCTCGCATCTAAGTACTTGATTGTGGTGTCAAGGTACAGGATCCATTGCGAATGCCGTTTGCTGTCCATTCTTTCAAGCTAAGAATCGCTTACAGGCGCGATACAGCCGGTCCGAAACGTGGCAGCGACTCTGTCACGTCGCATGTCACCACCTGTCAGGCTCAGGGTGCAGCGACGCAAAGGACCGCTGTGATGTTTGTCATGGGCTTTGTCACTGCAGTGTCCGCAGGGGTGGTTTGTTGCAAGAGCTGGTGGCTATCACGAAAGAGAGTGGCTTTACAGGTTGGGCCAGTCAGAGTGGCTAACATTTGCACCAGAGTGTGGCAGGTTCTATGTGATTGAATGTCGTTTGATGTCGTTTGGATCATTTTGGACCTTTTTTCCTGTAGCTCACCATAGCTCACCAGTGTGGTACGCTGGCAAGCGCAGCGCAAAGCAGCATACCACTGTGTATAGAGTTGGTTTTTTGGAAGTGGAAGCTCGTACTAAGAGCTTCAGCATGCTTCAGCTAGGCGAGAAACATGAACCATGCATATATCCGTGCCTCCATGCTGTTTCTCTCCAAAACAAGAAGTCGCCGTGTACTCGGTCGAATTCAGGAGAATGACACGTGAGCAAATTCACGTGTCCACTGGCCTAACAAAAATCATGTTTCAGAAAAAAACCCAGCTGACGCAGTTCGAGAGAAGTGCTTAGCTGCTTAACCAGTGATTTTGGGGCACTTGAAAGTGGCCCTCGGACTTCGAGATGATCCATGATGATCCCAAGCAGGGGTGTTGAATGCGCTTTAGCATGGGGTTCCCATTTTTAGGCTGCGCGAGTTGGCGAGGCCTATACCGAGGAGTACCAGCACTCTTCATGAGGCGCTGAAGAGCGGGTCTTCTCTTGCCAGGTCAGGAAAACAACAGCATATCGTTTTGGGAGCTAGAATGGCCGCATTCGAGCCTGCTCTGTGTTGCTTCGCCCATGCACCTGGTGTATCCTGGTGTTGGTTTCTCTGAGCTACACACTGGCCACGCCCTTTTCTCCATGCAGTTGGAGCATGGTGACAGAAAGAGAGCTGAATCTTTTTGGGTGCAGGGCTCGGCTCGGCCCCGCACACCATGAGCCATTGCGTGAAATGCAGGGGCGGACTCATAGCTGGTGGGCAGCTCTTTGGCTATGACACGAAGCTTGTCGGACTCAGCTCAAACTTGGACTTTATAGACGGATGCAATCTTCCAACCAGCCGCAAAACATATTTTTTTTTCATTCAAGGCTTTCAGAGGTCTAAGACCGCAAGCGTGAGCCGCAAAACATATTCTCAAAAGAAACACAACATTCAAAACGTGTTGCTTTCTGGGGCTTTCCAACTCCCCGCTGGTCCACACCGGTGCCGTTCGATGCGCGACGGGTGATCTAAGGACCAAGCGCTTCATGGTGTCCAAGGGCGTCCAAGAGGCCAGACCGACCTGCAGTGGTAACGGACCGACCTGCAGTGGTCTTCAACCTGAATATCTGAAGGAGATCGAATAACATGGAATAACCATGTTGGACAGGCCGAGTGGGTGGATGCCGGTGGTTGTTTGGGCCGAAAAAAGGTGGACAGCAAAGGAGGGTGGTCTTTAATGGGTTTTGCAGGGTTGCCAAAGTTGGAGATCACATCGGGGAGGCCAAATCCTTTGAGCTGATTCAAGCTGCTTTCGTCATGATCAAGGTAAGATATTGCGGACCCCGGACCGAAGAACTCGTGTGACTCGTATTCTGCAGCTGATGTGAGCGATCCCGAACTCGCCGCCCGGATCGACTGATGCTTCAAAGACCTGACGAGACCCTCTTGTTGGAAGATCACTTCTCGTAACAGACCGATGCATTATTGGCTGCAAGTTCTTTCATGATCTAGAGGGGATGTAGCAACAAATATTATGATATATGATGATAGGTCGCGGGACCAGCTATATATAGATATGCTGAGCGCGACTGGGTTCTTGCGAAATCTCATTCATGTTAGACAAGTCCAAAGGTACATTGTCAAGAATAGGTAGAATTCCATTCCTTCATCCATCTCTTTGGCCCCCCCGGACAACAGGATGCCAGGAAGCGTAATCTTCTAAACACTGTCCAAACTTATTGACAAAAGGACCGGACCAAACTCCTGGATGCTTAACCTATCTTAACCTTTTTAGATCTGGTTGAGCATGTTTGAGCCAAACGATTCATTCTTGAATTACTGTATACAGTATAGATCAAATGCACAAGCAGATCAACATGTCATTTCACAGACTGTCGTCTTCATTCCTTCTTGGCCGGACTCCGGTCCGGCCAAACCAAACCAGAATCCACCAGATTCCACCCCAACCGGCCCCAAGGGGCCCATCCCAGCCACCGATCCACGCCGAGTCCTCCCGAGGGAGCCCGAGCCCGGCAGGGCCCGGTGGTGCACCTCGCGTCCTCCAGCGTCTCGGCCGTGTCGGCGGTGATGGCCTCCGCGCCGGCCGACGTGGTGCTCAATCGCTACCAGGCAGTGTCAGCGGCGGTTTCGGGGGGGTGGACGCCTGGTGGTTTCGGGGTGTTGAAGTTGAAGACATCTTAGGATGATAGCAGGTGGATGACCTAGCAGGTGGATGACAAAAATCGGTGAATCAGCACTTTTGTACCATTGCTCTCTTCAGAGGCTATGCCTCGAACATCCTCGAACTATGTCTTGAACTTTTGACAAAATTACATCAAGTGTTCTTCACGACAAAAACACAAATAACAAGCCCAAGGAACACACGAACACACCATCTACCCGGAATCTACCCCTCAGATGTTCATTCTTCATTTGGACTGATTCTTGGTTTGCAAAAGGACAGGTCTTGGTGTTTTCTTTTGTCCGACTGGCCAGGCAGGTCCACGCTTGGGCATCAAGTACCCCTCATTGCTGCACGTGGCTTCGGAGCTCTTAAGGCAGGTGGAGCACGGTGTCCGTGCCGCAAAAACTCAGCTGCTGTAGGCAGCATCAAATGAAAACCAATGTTAAAAAGGCAATGCTTGTTTTTCTTGTGTGTTCTTCTGTGCACCCGTGGTCGACTCCCGAACGGAACTCCATTTACTCCATGGACCAAACTACGTCCTCCCCCATTTCGACCGTGCTCGGACCGCAACAAGAGGCACCTACCCGGGATGCCCGGAATCCGCGCGGAATCCGGAATCCGCTCGTCCGAAGGAGTTGGGTCCAAGGGACATCTAGCAATGACCTCGAAGCTATTAGCATAAGGAACCTAATAGAAATGGCCTCCAACCGAATGGCGATGGCCTCCAACCTACCCCTCGTAGCGATGGCGGAAACAACCTACTATAGCTTCTTGCTACTACTAGTAATGCACTTGCTACTAGTAGCGATGCGTTCAGTAAACAGATGAATTGCGACAGCTCGATCAGTAGACACTCAGACATAGCTGCACGAGTCACGAGTCCTGAAATTCAGTGTTGACTTGATATCGTGTGTGAGTGGGCAATTCCACAGACGGTTTAAAGTTGTGCTGATTGATGCGCCTGTTCAATGCCGAGACATTAAAACCTCTGTGTCAACGGAGGTTTGCATGTCACTTGCAGGACCGAAGGGCCTTTGGCTTTCTACAAGGTCAGGTTTGCAGCGTTCTTGCACGCGTTCTTTCGCGCAATTACAACTATCATCAACACGAAATTCATCAAAAACCATCATGTCCAAGAAACACAGCAAATAGATCTCTAAAACATTCTAAAACTAAAACCATTCTAAAACCATTTCAAGACCATGTGACAGAAAGCACGAACAAAGCAACGCGGGCCGTGGACCCTGCTGCAGGGCGTGGTGCCCAACGTGGTGAAGTTTTTACCGTCGCTCCGATGCGGACCGGACGGGACGCGTGGCGGGACGCGTGGGGCCAAACGCACGAGAGTAAGGTGACGTGTGTGGTACCCAGACCAATCACAATTCATTGGAAGCGTCACAATTCATTTACCCTATGGATGACCGCAATGTATGTAACTATTCCATACATGGTCTGGAATATGAGTTCAAAAAGGGGTTCGTCATGGGGGAGAGGGCACATACTTATGGAGACCAAACTGCAAAAATCACTAAAAAGCCTTGAGGCAAGCCGCTTGTGATAGGTTTGCCATTAGCTTGCAGTGGGACTCAACATCTTGCAATTGGCTTAAGGATGTTTGGATGAGATCGTTCTCTTTCTGCACCAATGCGATTCGCTCATGACTCAAGGCAACTATAGGCAACTTGAATGAAGCCATGAAATGGTTGCTGTTGATACTCCTGAGGGCCAGCAGTGCCAGTCACCTTCTCTCGAAATCAGATGATACTGGTACTGTGTGGGAAGAAGACTCTGAAAGGTGTGGGATGAACGAAATGAACAACCTTCTTCAGATTAGCGTGGAAGTTGAGTTTTTTGCGAATGCCGTGAGCAAGAATGCGCTTCGTGCTTTGCCACACAATCTCTCAGATTGGCCTGTACCGTCGCAGAGCTTGTCATTGCTGGTTGCGCCCTTGCAAGCTGTGAATGAGAGATTGAACGAAACTCAGTCCTCCAGGCTTGTGATTGCAGAGCCCACCATGCCTACACCGTTCATGACCTTGCAGCATGTCAGCAACATTCTGGTCGCCTGCACTTTTGTGTGCTTGCTTTTCCTTTGGGCAAATGTTCTTTGTCGTGGCTTGCCCTGCAAAGCGACTCAGCATTCTAGTGTGAAGCACGGATGTCCCACCAGCTGGGTAGTCTTCATGGGGATGGTGTATACCTTCACATATTTCACGACCGACCAATATGTGCCAAGCCTTCCTCAGATGGGTATTGACTTATCCGGTTCTCAGGCACTGATGAGCGCCACAGTGCAGATGAACTTCGTAGTGAAAGCAGTAGCTGGTATCTTCACTGCTGGCTTATCTGATCGGATTGGCCGAAGACCCACCCTTTTGGTTTGCATGTTCTTGTTAAGTTTGGCAAGCTTTTGCTGCGGATGCGCTGGTCGTGTGGAATGGTTCGTAGCTGCCCGCATTCTTCAGGGGATTGGAGAATCTGTCGAGCCAGTGATTTTTGCGATGACTCGGGACTATTTTCCCAATCCAGAGCAACGCTTCGGGATAGTTGCTGCCTTGCAGATGATGTCCATTGGTGGTATGTTGGTCGCACCTGTTATTGGAGGCTTTCTTGCGGAGCTCTTCAACTGGCGCATGTCCTTTTTT